CACGTAAAACCAATGCCTTTCAAGAACAACCACCAGTAGCCTAAAATATAGGATTTTAGCCGCTACACATAGAGTTTTAATGAGCTGCCTTCAATCATAATCACCAACTACAAGTTGAGAGGCCTTGACCTTATCAGACGTGTTGTCTTCAGCAACACTTGGAATGAATTGGGTGAATGTATTAATTATTCTAACCCTGTGTTAATTAGAGGAAATCCAAAATGAAGTCCAGCTTGTGCACCCAGTTTTTGTTTTAAAATGACTGAAGTTGTGTATTAGACAATCATTCCTGCTGAAAAAAATAAAATAAAATGTTGGGTGTATGTAAACTTCTGATCACAGATGTATGTGCCTCTTATAGTCGGTCAGAATTTGCAAATAAAATACCAAAGAGACTTTATTTAATAAAGATACATAATTTTTACAACCACATTATCTGAAGTTTGGAAGTCTTTGCAGATCCACTCCTGTACTGACAGTTCTTTGACTTCTTGTTTCATCATCTCAAAAGACCAATCAGGTGCTTTAGATTAGTCAAAAGAAACCAGGAAGCGAGCTGGTTTAGTCAGGATCATATTTTCTGCTACTTTGTTGTTTGTCAACTAAAAATGATGCAGGAAGGCATTTCATTTGTGTAACTTTAAGCTGTTGGGCTCTTAGAACATAATGTTTAAGATAAAGATTTGTTTGTGGTAAACTGTGTTTTTCTAAACATAATTATGAAAGAACTTATGTAATGAATACAAATATCTGCAGGCATCACCACCTTGCATGGCTTCCTGTGTTGTCTTTGTTTTTGTTTTATATGAAATGCTGACCCCTGGTGGCCAAAATAATTTACTGCACAGTTTTATTTCAGCTTCTTGCAGCAAAACTTTTCAAATGTCTACTGAAGATCCCTCTCATTTTTGCGAGAGTCACTAAAATATATCTTTAACCACCAAACAAATGTTAATACAGCCTGCAGAAAGTGTAGATTTGCATCACAGGACAGATTTTAATGCAACTCTAAAGAAATACCATAATCACTGGATGTACCTCCACTATGTATCTCCAGACCAACTTGTCAGCATCAAATTATGATTTTCTTAGAAATAATGAACTTAAGAGCTCCCACCAGAAACATGTTTTTTTGTGGTGGTTTATTTTTATACTAGCTACACTCACAAGGTCACTGTTCAAAGTCTGGAGAAGATGTGAAGTGAAATGTAAAACAGAGTGTATTTATCGGCACGGGAACTCGTGATTCGTCAGACCCACAAGCCAGTTAGCTTCCAAGAAACACTCTTAACTGAACGTCACAAACCTCTGAACCAATTAGCTGAGGAGTTCTGTGACCCAAACTTGCTTGATTCCTGAGTCAAAATATTTAAAAAAATGATATGGTAGTCAAAATGAAATACCCTTATTTACAGGCCAATCCTATAAAAATGACAAATAAGCCAAATTACTTTAAAAACAGAAAGAAAAACTGAGTAGAATGGAGTTTTGTTTTGTTTTTTTGCTAAAATTTAATGTGGTGGTATCAGTACTCTGAATGTGACATGTTGCACATACTGTTGTTTTCAAGGTTTAACCACAAAGGCTCCACCTCTCAGCACGAGGTTATCTCAGTCTAAAACTCAAGCAGTATTCAGTCAAGGAAGTCGTAGGCCCTTCAATTACAGCAAACTGTTTTCAATTACCTGACATCAGTTTCTGGAATTTAAAAGTGTACTGAAAGACAGCCATTTTATTTTTTGACCTCGTATTACATTTAGCTTTTATTTATGTGCTGTTTATCAGGGAGCGGGTCACGGAACAACACAGCCACCTCTTCTCGTTCTTCCTGGAGATTATTGCTATTTTCCATGAATCCTGAATCTGCCCCAAGGCTGATCAAATGAGACGCGGCTGGAACCTTCCACCTCAGGGAGAATCAAGCAAGCATTCTGTACGGATGCCTCATTGTCTTACCCTGAGCCTTTCCTAGAAAGTAAAAGGTGATACTTTCCTGGAAGGCGGAGGTTTCTCATGCTGTCCCTACAGGTAAAACCTGACAGAGGAAGTTCACTAGAGTTATTATAATTAATTTGCAAATTTTTTCTTTTGCATTCTTTCCATAGCTGATTACTGTAAGCATGAGTTGGAACACAGATGGACTGGTACATCAACATTTTTTGTTTTAACCCCACAGAACTGCAGACATACGATGATCTAACTATTTACACCAAATTATGAACATTATAAGGCAAAACTCTCTCATTTTTCTGAATTATGCTCCTATGAAACGGAATGCACTTTTGGTTTTAAGTGACTGTTCCATTTTTGCAAAGGCATATATAAGTTTTTGTTGCTTGTGTTCCACTTTTATGATTCTGTGTGTGAATATATCTCAATATTTTAATTTTCTGGAAAGCACATTTCGCAAAAAAATGTGTTTTAGAAAAGTTAGATTTGATGTAATTTCTATGACTTGAAAAAGATCAGTTCACTCCTAACTCCAAGTGTGTCTTAGTTGACCGTGACATCGAAATCATCACTTCACATTCTGTTACAAAAAGGGGGAGCTCTCCTGACAAAACCTTTGAACTCTTTTGCTCTTTGGCTGAGACTGAACAGAACTCGTCCCATGTCAAGGTTGTAAAAGGTTTGGACACGGGGAGCTTTAAAATGTATTCCATTTTATTTAATAAAAACAAAAGTAGATGTGGCAGCAAGAAAGAAAACATTACAGAACCAAAGGTGAGTCTCAAAAAGAAGAGTCAGGAGGAGTGGATGTGTTGTGTAAACACACCTAGTTACTGAAAGAGAAACTGATGGGATACAAGGACAGAACTCAAACACAAGAATCCCAATATATACTGTATGTGTGTGTGTGTGTGTGTGTGTGTGTGTGTGTGTGTGTGTGTGTGTGTG